TGTATTTATTTTTATTTATTTTGCGTCTGCTTCGGACTAATTGTGGCACATTTTTGACCTTCTTAGCTTCGAGCTCTGTCAGTTTGAGACAGCTAAATTTGCTTTGACGTTCGCCTTTTACGCTATGCAAATGGTTGGCTCCACCAATTTGCTTGGGTCTTAGTCACGTCCATTGCAACCCTCTGGAAATGAGTTATATTTATATAGTTTGTGTTTATTTCGGTGGTTGGTTATGTAAATTGTTTCCTTGCCAACCAGCCTTGGCATTATACCTAAGTGCTGGCTTTCTTTTCTTCTATTTATAGCTTTTTTATTTTATTTTGATTCGTGCTCCTTGATGACTGCACAATTTGCTGAAGTCACTTGCCCTTTTACCATTTATGGATTTTAGCCTGGGTTCGAGGTGAAAGCTGTGTTCTGTATATTCCGTAAATATTTTTAGTAGTCTTCGTCACTCGTCTTTGTTAGAACTTGCCCCAATTGTTGAAATGGAGTTATGCTTAGCATTTACTACATATGATATATTCTGGTATAGGGCCTATACAATTTGGGATTCGAAAGTATTTGAGTTCTGCAAATGGGTCACTTAGTAACTCTGTATTATTTATTATTGAGGATTATATTATAGTAATAATATACGTACATGTATAAGCAGATCTTAAGGTTTTTCCTAATCTCTATTTCGAATTCTCTCTCTCTTTCATTTGTATAAAGCCTTTGTAAACTTTCTTGACTCACTTCTCCTATATCATCATTTGCTGTCTTACTCTGACCTAACCCAACTCATTTTCTATAAGTTTTCTTCTTATATGAGTTTCTCCCCCTCCACATTTCCTTACCAAATTTGAAGCTCCAGCTATATATTTTGTCCTCTATATAACTGATCTCTAAACATCTATCTGTCTAACTCTGCATCTCTGTCAACACTATATATTTCCCTCCGACATAACTTTCCTAAACATTTCCTAATTTACATTTTGTAAGATAATTTTGCAATTCTTTCAAGCTCTTTCACAATTTGCATTATGTTTATTTAAACTATAAATGTCTATATATTCCACTTTGGAGTATTTGTTTACTGAAACTACTTGTTGTTATGATACTTAGCTACTACATATCTCTAGCTGCCCATTATCTCGATAGGCTGCTGAGCTAATTGGGTTACAGCAGCAACAGCTGACGCCATGGCTCGCCTCACGTAATGTAACAGGTGTAGTGAACAGGTAGAGTGCGCAACGTACCTTTGGCGCCCTCCAATTTATCAGACTCAAGGGCAACTCTCGCATAATGTACAAATAAACAAATTGAATTCGTGTTGAGGCGCTGCCCAGCAAAGTTAAACAAAAATAAAATGAAACAGAAACAAATAAACCAACGCACGCTATCTAAATTATCAATGCAATTGTTTTAAAAACCCACAAAAACAAAAACCTCAACAACAAACCGAGCTACAACAAAAATATACAAAAAACTATAGAATGAAAGAACTTTGGCCAGCGCGCTCCACCTGACTGCATAATACTCGTCCACATTACGAAATCGGGTTGAATTCTTCTTAAAATCGCTTGACCACATCGTCGGGGATCATACTCAGTTTGCTAGTCCCCAAATGGATATATATACAATATAATATAATATATATCAAAAACATCTAAATAAGTTACATGTACATCTTAATATACGTTTTCAGCTAAATATATATGTATATATAGCTATTCATGATATGCCCCATTCATAGTGGTCTATCTAAGCAGATCTCAGTAAAATCTCTTTCAAGAATAAAATCTTTAATATATGTATAACCCTAAGTAAAGCCTATATACTCTTTTTGCTATGAGTAAAACCTCAAAAACACACAACAAAAACAAAAATGTACAAAAATATACAGCAATAGCAAAAACAACACAGAGAGAAAAATTCAATAACAAAAAACATGTGTTTGTAGGTGAAAAAAAAAAAATCAACACGAAAACCAAAATATAAACAAAAATAACGAAAAATCTGTCACGACATTCCTATACTCTGCCAGCCATTTGATTGTCATGGATGTTACGTAATACGATTGAGAACAATAAAGAGTTCGGAATGTCAAAGTTGGAGCGAAATACAAAAGAAATATCAAATTGCAAAACTACCTACATATATATATGATATATAATATTGTATATTTGTTTCTCAAGCAGCCCATATATATTTCGTATATAGAGAATGTATTTGAGAAACTTAATTCTCAATCGATTTTTGTCATAGAGCAAAATGTTAGAGTTATCTTATATAGTCTTTGTACATTTTATAAATGGTAAACATCATAAAACTCTTAAACAACAGTTTTAGTTATCACAAATATGTAGACAAATTCTTTACTACGTCATCTACAATATAAACATTCCAGATGAGTTTTAGGCAGAGTTTGATGTTTATAGATCTAAAATTGGATAAGGAAAACTTTGCATAATAACATACATAGCAGTTGTCAGTTTGATAATCTTTAATTATATATAATATATATTCTGTTTGATTTCGAAAACTACCTCGGATAGGCCCCACATACTTTGTTCCAAAATTTGGTATGCTCCGCAGGCTGAGGTAAAGCAATGCCAGCGGTGATCTATAAATACATCTATATCTATAATATATACATAGTGAACATGTTGATCTGCTGGCTAGTTCGGCTGGCTGCTTTCACGTCATCAACTATAATGGCTAATGGATCCACTGCACACAGTGACGTATGATGCTATTTGTTCTTGTTGTTTTCTTTCATTTCGGAATCTTGAGAATTTGTTGGCGCGTAATAAGGTCGCAAATGTATACAGAGATTTTGTTTTTTGCCTGTTCTTTTTTGTCTTTATGCCATGTCTTGGCCATAAAAAAGAAAATACAATCAAAATAATGGCAGCAGCAGCAGCATCACAAAAAGTTCGATGAGTCACCTGATGAGTTTATAAATGAGTTCATTTTTGGATTAAAATGTTGTTATTTTTACTTTTGTGGTTTCTGTTTTTTTTTTCAGATTGCCAATTTCTCTGGCTCTTATCTATTTTGGTTGTGTTAATGCCGATCTGACAATGCTCCACATGTGCATATCAGAAAACAGCTATAAAAATGAATAATTCTCAGAAATCGGAAATCAGAAATCGGAACTCACCTGATGCGCAGGCAAACAGTAAAAGTCCCACGCACAAAATTCCAATGAGATCCAGCTGGGCCATGTCTATATAGTCAGGTGGTGTGTGAGTGAGTTTGTATTATGTAAATTTGATATTGATGTAGGTTATGTCGCGCTGAGATCCTGAAAGCGTTCAAGCTCTATAGACGAAACACAAAACAGAAGTGGGAAAAAAGATAAAATGAAATTAGTAAATGTGAGCTGAATTTAAAAGTTTCTGCTGCTGTTGCCAGGTACTACAGGGGCGTACGCCGGACTGTGGGCGTGACACAGACACAGTCCAGTTACGTCTAGTTGCGGTTTAGTCAATTTTATTTCATTAAACACATGCATATATATATATGTATATATTATTGCATATACATATATATGAAGTGTTGGTTTTTATTACGCAGTAAGTGTGTCTGCACAGCTTTGGCTGCGCATGCCCTGTAGTGGCAATTGCCATGGGCTAGTTTGGTTGCCATAGAGCACTAACTGTGAACTTATCTTTAGCGAGCGTGTCTTTTCATATCATTCTTTCTGATTACAGGGTATTCCATTACAGCGCTTTGCAAAAGTTTAGTATTTGCTGGGTGTTTGATTTCGGTTTCGGGTATTTTGCGTGTATTTGTGTGTACTTATCAAGCAAATCGGTGGCGTATGTTATAGCAAACGTGATAAGCTATCTTTTTTTTGAATCGACACAAAAAAAAAGAAACAACGAAAAATAAAAATAAAACAAGAAAATCATGAAAAAAAAAAAACGAACTAAGGTATCTTATGAGGCCTGTTAACATGCTGAATACATTCGCTGCAAGCAGTTTCTTGCACTCGGCATATAATTCATTTGCTTCTGGTATTTACTGTATTATTTAATAAATTTAATTCATTTGTAATTGATTTAAACAATTTTCTTGCCATAAATCAAGCGTGTGTCGCACTGACTGAAATGCTCATCAAGAATTTCGCATTTGGTATATATATTAATAATTTATTTTATTGTTATTCATTATATCACACCCGATAATTGTTTAACAACTGCGAAAGTTTCAAATGCAAACAGAATTTTAATTAACACACGTTAACAACAATTACTGCAGAACAACCAAATTTGATGGGATTTGTTCGAGAATATGAAATGTCGGGAAACGGGAATCGAGAATGATGATCTAGAAACTTGAATACAGAATCTGGAATCCAGAATCAATATGTATTCAAAAAAAAAATTTACTTTTGATGTCAAATATAAATATAGTAAATTATTTATTTAAAAATCTGATATATATATATCTATTAAAATATATATAAAGTTGGCCAATTATTGAGTACTAAATTTGCTTGCATCTTATTTATAAATTAATTCTGATTTAAATTCATCACCATTACTTTTTTTTTAAATTTTATGTTGATATTTAATGCCTTGGCTAAATGCGTTGCACTCGTTATTCGCTCGACTTTTTTGCGGCTTAAAAAAAAAAAATGAGCGAGCAGCAGCGACCGCAACAGAAATAAAATTTGCAATCGAAAACACAGAACAAGTTGAAAAAGCATTATCAAAAAAAAAAAAAAAAAAAAAAGAAAAAAAAAGTTAACGAAGAAACTAACTAAAACGCATATCTAACAAAAACGTAATAAACTGCTCTTAGTCATAGTTAATAATAAATAAAATGTAGAAAAAAAACCAACAAACAAATGACCAAAATGTTGAATAAGTTTGACGGAATTAAAAAATTGGGGCAATGAGACCTACGCGCTGATCACATAGATATAAGTACGTACCTGTTTTTTTTTTTTAAAGACTCGATTTGCACTTGTTTTTTGTTTTGTTTTGTTTTTTGTTTTTTTTTTTTTTTGGTTTATTGTTTTATTTGTATTTTTGAGAAACAATCAAATTACATTGTTATTGCTGTCAATGTATTTATGTTTGTCCATTTTAATGGCGAGAATTCGCACCTTTCATATCAATGATAAGAGCACCAATATTAATTTAATAACGGCGGTTAACTAAATTACGCGGATAGCCAACCAGACGAGAAATATGCACGTCCTCCCTTCTCGGCGGTTGTTGAATGACTGAATTCCCAAAACGAAACAAAGCTACAGCAAGCGTATCAGCGGAAGAGAGGAACACGGAATGAAAAGAAACAAATATAGAAATGAAACATGCGCTCTCTTTAGTAGTGAAGCGAGGGCGTTCATGTAGCGTACAGAGTACCACAGCATTGGTGCCGAATATTTTCTCTTTGAAATTGGGAGTAAGTTAACAAAAATTGAGCGAGCGCGAACGAGCAAAAGGCGAGATAGAATGAGAGTGTGTTCAGGTATCAGTGTAGTGTGTAAGCATTTTGACAGTTGATATGTAACCCATATGAATAAGTTCACAATAGTATTAACAAATATATATAAATTACAGATCATTCAGGATGTGATTGGATATAGCTAATATAATGTAATAAAAATTAAATATCTTATTATATGTGTAAAGTGTTATCTATTCAGTTTAATATTATTACATACAGCAAGAATCCCTGTACATTAATATATTTTAAATAAATATATAATATTCTAGGGTATTTAGACTTCGTTATATTGGGAAAAGAAAGTATTCTTTTTTGTTTGTGTACAGATCGTAAAAGTTGGTAAATAAATTTTTATAAATGCGCAGTAACCATAGGGAGATTTACGATTTTACTTATTACTTGCAAAATAATATATAAATTTATAAACTACCAACGACGTATAAGCAATATTGTTTTGTTTGCTGTTGCTCTATATAATGCGTATACGTATTAGCAGCAAGCCGCACGCACATAGCCTTTATGTGCGTGTGCGTGCGCGTATGAGTGTGCGCTGGCCGGCGCGCATTGTTTATGTTGCGTTAGCCCTCGTTTTGTGATGCCTTACACTGGTTACAGCGTTGCCAGACAGCAGCCAAATAATTGATATTTGGCTGATGTGGCTGAGTTGCTGCATAGAATGTTGTTTTTCTAGCTAGCTGGCAGCTCTAAAATTATGGTTTGAGTATTTGCTAGATTTTTGAATTTTCAGCGGTTTGCTTGAAGTGCTTTGAATGTTGACTGAAAAATATATTTAAATGAAGACTGTATTATAAAAATAATTGTATTGGTTTAACAGTTGTATTATTAAGAGCATTCATTCATTGGCATGCTTGTGCAGCTATTTGATCTTATCAGATTTATCTGCAGATGGCTTTACACAAAGTAATGTATTCTTTTATATTATATGGATTTCGCTTAACATTCTTGGGCTTCAATATTTTGAGCACATCTTGCTCTTCGATCGTCAATAATCGCTTGTTGATCGATAAGTGCTTAATTGAATTGTTGTGCCCAGGCTCACTTGCTTGACATTCTGAGCTGTTGCCAGCCATTTGCAACTGGCACTTGGTAATTAGCACGCGCTGCTCCGCTGCTCGGCTGCTCTGCTGCTCGGCTGCTCATTAACACTTGCCAAGTGCCAAGCTCGACCCATGCGCCGGCTGCTGCTGCTGTTGTTGCTCTGTTCCCCTATTCCCCGGCGGCAGCGGCAAATTGCACGCGTGGCACACACAAAGCACACTCTGTGCGCGCAAGTGTTGCAAAACGTTCGCTTCTGCTCCCTCTACTGTGCCTCAAAGGCGAAAATGCCGCCGCACATATTCGGCTGCTGGCACTCTCTGCGAATTGCAATCCCAAAATGGTCAACGTGTGCTTCTTATTTTACCTTTTCTTCTTCTTCTTTTTTATTTTGCTGGTCGGTTTTTTCTGCTTTTGGGCAGCTAACCGCAAAAGCGTGAAATTTTAATTGTGCCTTTCGGGGCGTTGTCGTCGCCGTCGCATCCTTCGAACCGAAATAAAGATCTTGGGGCTACCGCAGCTCATCCACATAGCCAGAGCTTGAGCCTAGGCTAGGGTCTGCCTGCTTGCCTGCCTGCCTGCCTGACTGTCTGACTGCCAAAGTTGTTCCATGCCAAAAAGGTGCAAAAGGCCAAATAGTATTTGGTTGTTTATGTTGTTACATGCCACACTCTAGCCGCTGCTGCTGCTGTTGTTGTTGTTGTTGCTGCTGCTGCTGCTGTTGCTGTATGGCGCTGTTGTGTATTTTAGGCCACAAAAATGCTAGCTGGAATTTATTCAAGTACAGTCAAACAACTCTATTGCAAACTTGACCTGAGAGACAGGAGTCCTGCAGTTGAGAGCAAAGATTTAAAACTGTTACCCAAATGAGTTGAGAATATATTTTGAGTATAGTTTGTATTCGTAAACTAAAATATTATATTAGAATTTCTTTCAATTTAGATTATACAAATTATCAATACTTGTTCATTTCTTAAATAGCATTAAGTCAGTCTTTAAAGCACTCAAAAAATAAATAATAAATAAAAAGGAGTTCAAAAGATGCTCTAAGTGTAAAAAATATATAGATAAATATATAAATATACCTGCAAAATATTTAATCAAAAAAATTGATTATACAATATTTTGTTTATAGATATAAATATAATAATATACAAAATAATATACTTAAAAAACATATATTTTTTAATAAATATATAAAAATAAAAATAAATTATGCATACTATGATGAAATAAGAAAAATATGTATTTTTATATTTTTTTTTTATATTTATATTTTAAAACTAGTAAAAAGAAATCTAGTAGAAATCATTTTAAAAACTATTGAAATTAAATAATTTATATACCTTTATAAAACTTTCCTTAAGTTTTCTTCAAGAGAAATTTAGCTGGCATGTCGGAAATTTTACCACCAAAAACTTGATTGTACTCACTCCTGTTGCTCTCATTGCTCATATCCAAGCTGTACTGTATTCGCACATCACCTGATGTCAACTGTTTCAGTTGCCGCTGCCGCTGCTGCTGCTGCTGCTTCTGCTGCTAGTCCTGCTGCTGCAGTTACAGCTGTCCAATTGTCCGGCTGTCCGGCTGTCGTCTTTTGTATGAACAACATCATCCTCGTCGTCTGTGCGCTGCATCATCGTCATCGTCGTCGTCGTCTTCAGGGTTTATTTATTTTCTTCTTCATTTTTTTTTTTTTTTTTTTTTTTTTTGTCGCTGCTTTGTTGCTGTTAATAGTCGCTGCGGGCCAAATCAATTCCATGCGAAGTTGTAAGCCCGTCGTCTTTGGCTATTTTATTGGTTGACAATAAAAGTGAGCCAAGTGTTTGCTTGCTGCCTTCTGCTGCTGCTGCCTTCTGCTGCTGCTGCTGCTGCTGGCCTCGAACTGGGCTCTTGTATGCTGCACAGCATAATAATTATAATCCATTTTATTTCTAGGCTTTGCCATAGCAATTCCATCGATCATGCAACACACACCAGCACACACACACACACACACGCTCAGAGTTAGTCACAAGCCAAGCTGGGTCACGTGTGTGCGCTGACCTCTGCCAAAGCAACAACAACAAACACAACAACAACAGCTGCATTTAATGTTTAAGTTTTGTGCATTGTATGTCCGTCACTTGAGCAACTGTTGCTGTTGTTGCTATTGCAGTTGCTGTTGTTGTTGCTGTTGCTTTGCTGTTGTCGGCGACTGCACGCCAAGATGCCAAATATCTAATGCGCTTCCACCAAAATGATCAAATTCATGGAATTCGCATAAAGCAGCGACCAGGTCGCAGCCTCCACCCAATCCCCGCGCCCTCCCCCCAACTCCACCCCTCTATCTCTCTCTCTCTCTGTCTCGCTCTACTCTCTCCTGCTGAATCTTTCATCTGTGCAGCTTTATCTGGCTGCTGCTCCACCCATTTGCATCTGCTGAGTCGCTGCGTAAAGCAAACAAAACCCAGCGACAGGTGAATCGGCCGCCCGTTGACTTGCCCCATACGGTCCGGTCAGGGGCCGTGGGTCCATAGCGTGTGGACACTGTAGCGCGTAGCGGGCAGAAGGCGGCAGACGGCGGTTGGTGCTGGCTGCTGTGGCTGCTTTGGCGGGTGGGTGGCTGGGCGCGGCCAGGGGCGTTGCACGCCGAATGCCAGCAGTTACAGTGGGCTGCGGGCTGATTGAAAACGGACATAAAGATCATTTAGAGATAAAACTATAATTAATTTAAGGAAAGTTGAAATAAATTAATAAATTGAATGTAATTATTTAAGAAAATATTAAAAATATAAAATATTAGTTTGATTAATTATTTAAGAAAATATTAAAAATATGAAATATTAATACAAATACTTAAGAGAAAATTTAGTCTAAATCTCTTTTTTTTTTTATATTATTATTACGTAACTTTTAATATTGGATCTTAAAAAAATTAATTTAATTAATTAATTTTATTTTTTAGTTTATCTTATTTTTTAAAAATATTTTATTAATTTTTAAATATTTTTTTAAAATTTTATTTTGTATTTTGTATATCATAAAATGAAAAAAAAAAAAAATTATCTATTTATTTTATTTTATTTTATTTATTTATTTTTTAAATATTTTATTTTATTTTATATATATTTTTTAAAATTTTATTTTGTATCTTATAAAATGAAAAAAAAAAAAAAATAAATAAATAAATAACATATTATCTATTTTATTATATATTTTTTTGTATATATATCTATCTTACATTCATAAATATGTTTTTCTTATGCATCTACAACTTCGTATCATTTTAATTATCCTACCCAAAAGTATGCTATAGATTTATATATACATAAGAGCTTTAAGAGTTTTTAGCTCAAATTGGAAATAGGCTTAAAGCCTTTGATGTTTGAGTTTTAGTTTAATTTTGTATAATCATTTGTTTAAACACACTTTAGAGGCAACTTAAAGAAGTTTTATATTTTGTTTATATTTCAATATTAATATAATATATTTCAATATCAATATATTGAAATCTCTCTTATATTAAAGACAAATATTGGAGTAGCCAATAGTAGCCAAAAATGAAGAGCTTTGGTCCCACTGTGCTGCCTGCTGTCTGCACATGTGTCCCCTGTGTGTGTCCCATCACCCACTTTGGCCATTGCCTGTGACGGGGTCTGGGCTCTGTTTCTGCGGCTGTGGCTGCGGCTGTGACTGTGGCTGCTGCATCACCTAACGCAGCGACGGCGACTGTTAAGATCGATCGTCGTTGTGTTTGACCGTTGCTGCCGCTGCCGCTGCTTTGGAGGTGACTTGGACGTTGTCGTTGCGATCGATCGGCTGGCCTGGTCTGGCTTGGTTCGGCCTGGCCGGGCTTGGGTCTGATCGAGGCTTGCTGGGCGACCATTACCAGGCTTTGGCCAATTGATGACCAGTTCGATTAGTTGTTGTTGTGATTGCTGTTGCTGTTGCTGTTGGTGGTGTTGCTGTTGGTGGTGTTGCTGTTGCTGTTGTGGTTGTCGGCTGTGCTTACGGCCTTTAAGTCTTTACACCTTCCTTTATTATTTTGCTATTTATTTTGGTTATATTTTTGTGGTTGTGTATTTAAATTGCCAACATAAATTTGTTGTTTTTGCAATATTCGCTTTAATGAAGATTT